AATAGATTTTGAGAATTTACTATCATGATGTTACTACATAGAGGAATGTAGCTTTCTGATATTGAGTGTGCTTACATTGCCATGTATCATGATGCATAGTACTAGCTTATGCTTCTAAAATACTTGTGTTTCATGGTAAAAAAACTTCTTTTGAGAGGAATTTCACTCTTTCAGATCACTGCATAAGTGGGAATTGTTCTGAAAAATATTTGTTACATGTATGTTTATTTGTTATTGTGACAGACTTGGAAGTAATTCATTATTGCTGATTAATTTACAAACTTAATTCTCATAGAAATTCTTTGGTCTCAAAGATAAATATAGCAATTCTCTGGAACCATGAATAATTTGCTAAACTAAAGAAGTTAATGCCTCATACATGTGGTAAATAGAAGAGAAAGCAGAGATATATCTGCGGCAGTCTTTAAAGACAGTAACTTGCGGGTTGAGATAGACTGGTCTATTAAGATAAGTGTTGAAAAGTGAATAGCACAAAATGAAGTGTAGTTTCCTAATTCAGATACATGACAATTAATTAAATAGAAGGAACGTAGAATAACTACATTCTAGTTACACAACTAAGAATGGTGATTTCCATTAGACTATTGCTCATTATATATGTTTAAAGCCACATTGTCATTTATAATTAAGAGTTTATTTCTCTTTATGTTCAACTTTTCAGTTGCATAGAAACATACACACTGGGTTTGGTTTTATTAATTATTTTGAGATTATTTTATTGCTCAAGTAGATAAATTCAGTCAATCAATGTCTTTTTGAGGATGAAAATAAAAATGACAGCAAAAAAAGCTCTCTGCATTGCAGAAATTGTAATAGAAATACTGAAATTTAATTAATTGATAGTTAACTTTCAAAATACTTGATAATATCACTCAATATGAAAATACATTGCTTTATATAAGCAAGTTTTGTAATACAAATGTCATGTGGGAATAGAAGTAATATGAAAGGAAAAATATTCTTTTTTTCTTCTTTTCTCTTAGGCATACTCAGTTATAATTGTTGAATTAGTTTCTTCCAGTTTAAGTTTATAACTGTTCTCATTTTGTCTTCCTCCTTTATCCACAAGTTCACCTTTTAAAAACTTTATATTTAGTTTCTTATTAGGTGTGAAATAGCTCTTCTTAAATGTGCTTATGTGCCTTCTTAAATAAGAATCAGGATATCTGTGTTTCCTATAACTTTCTCATTACCCCAACCACTATTTGATAACTTCTTGTTTTATTGAGCTTTCCTTTTTTTTTTGTTGTTTATTAATTTTGGAAAAATGTCACTGCAATTAGAAAAACTCTCTTAGGACAGAAAGCAAAGCCTTGCCAATACAGAATTGTAACCTAGAAGATAGTCCCTTGTGCTTTACTCATTTAATTTAAATTGTTTTGAGGAAGGTCTAGCACATTGTGAAATAATCTCAGGAGAAAAATTGGAAATACCCTTTCTGGCATACAGTAAATCATTTTTCAAATTCAGACTACATTGTTCTTTTCTCAATTTGATCTCATTATTTTTAGGTATATCCCATTTGTATTCTTAAATAATTACTCTTGCCCCTTGGTGTTTACCTTGTTATTGCTTTTGACAGATATATCTCCTCCCTCTCCACCCACTTAATTGTTGATTAGTCAAGCTGTAGATATTTAATATTTTTAAGCTTTTCTTATGTGTCATTCCTTCCAACCCATTAATCCTTTTTTTCCCTCCATTTGCTCTGAGTACTTTTCAGTAAGTCAGTGCACAAAAGCTGGAGGTGATTGTACTTGATGAGTGCTTTCCAGTTCAAATTTGAAATGACAGTCTGATCTTCATTTATCTGAAAAGAAACGACAAATCTGTCTCTTGTTCATGTTAACGTCCAGTTTGTTGACACTGGTAATGCAAAAATGTTCTGTAAGCTAGTCTCAGGCATTAAGGTCCTGTTGAGGCTTTATCAATGTAATTTAAAAACAGTCCAAACTTCTAATATTCACATTTTCGCGAGTTTCTTGTGGTGGTGGAGAAATAAGTTGGCAAAAGGAGAATCATTACCATTAAAGGATCAGCAGAAGTAAATAAATGCATGTTGAAACATGAGAACTGTAACATTTTGCCCCACTTTAAAGAACGTTTTGAAACTAAATGCATGGAAACTGATGAAGATAAAGTGTAGTGTCTTGTCCAAGAAAGCACTGTTACTCTCTGATCATACTACACAGATTATGAACAAAATGTAGATCCTTTGACAGAAAAGCTTGAATATAGTAGAAGAATGAAATTGCCTGTATTTGCTAACACAACATCTGTGACTATTTTGCCTGATACTTTTACAATCAGATTGCCTTAATTTTAAAAGTGTAAATTAAATTGATAATGTGATATATACCAACTGAGAAACAAATGAGCAGCTCTCATTTTTTCTGTGATACACCATTTTTTATGAAATATTACTTATTTGCTGAAAACGGATCTCTGAATGTAAGATATATATTAGCCATTCTTGAAGAAAAAGCTGGGAAGAGATGGGGGAGGAACTTTATCACCAAATCAAACAAATAAAACAACAAAAACACACAGAAAGGCAAATGTATTTCAAACTCATATTGCATAAACTATCCATTAGGTTTATACACTATCATTTTTTCTCACATTTATTGATATGTTTCATTTTCTTTCCATTTTTTTAGAGGTCTCATATGTTTACTGGAATATTTTGATTTCTAAAAGAAAAAATACACACAAAATTGTAATTAAAAAATAATTAAAAAGTCATTGAAAATATTGTATTCGTGTTTAAACCAAGCCTAAATAAATAATCTGTATAAGTCCAAAATATTTAGGTAATCTGTAGTGATAAAAAATGGTAAGGGAAAAAACTAAGAAGAATATTCTATTCAAGAGGTTAATGAAATCTTTGTTGAAGTGCTCCTTTAAGAAGGAAAATGACTGCTGAGTGCTAAACATGTCTTCAAATAGTCACATTAGTATTTCAGCTTCTTAAATGTATTAATTCTGAATTTTTCTTTATTTCTCTTTAAAAGTTTACCTGAACTCTAATTTCCATTTGACTCATTGTTCAGTAACTCCTTAAATTTACTACTTCTGAGAGATTACAAAGGTATCATTAAGTAATGCAAGTTCATGTCTTATTAGTAGACAATACTGTTGATCTTCATTTCCTCATGCTCCATCTTGCACTGAATTTTAATGTTCCCAGACTGATTTTATTTTATCTAGTCTTTTAGATTTTCACTTTTAAAAACAAGGTCAGAAAAATATAAAAGCCTTGATCTCACCTTGGACTTTTGGCTTTCCAAGGCAAGCTAAGCGTAATGACCATCATTGTTTTTATTCCTATGTTATTTATATTTACATGCTATTATTTTAATGCAAATTAAGCTTATCTTTTTTTGAACACTGTAAAGTGTGAAGGTAGCTTCTGGCCTCACAGTCTTTAGCTTATGGTCATGGTTAGTCAGGCAGGAGATTTATTTTTAAGTCCCACTATTTTTCTATCTCAGCCTTGCCCTTCTATGGAAATAATATAGTCGAGCTTATATTGGCCTTTCATTTCTCTTGTGGGGTTCTTCTCCTATGTAAGACCCACTTTGACTTGCCTTTGATACTCATGATTTGTTTAAACCTCCAATGAATAACATGTAAAGTCCTGAAACAGGCAAGGCCTATCAATAATACTAAGCATTCTATAGAACAAATCTGTGTGAAAAACAGGCAGTAAAATTAATATCAGTGTGTTGTTTTTTTTTTCCCTTGGTTTGGTGGTATTAAGCAAGCTTTCCCAAAGCACATGTTGTACTACCTTGTAATTTCAAGCCAATTAAAAAACAAATCATTATCTGTCATGGAGATGAAATACTGCCAGCTATCTCAAGATCTTGTCTTTAATCTTCAGTGGGGAAAACTGAAATTAATACTGCTAATATGAAGGAAGGTATGAAACTGTAAAAGTCTAAGCTGTGGGTCTTGATATCACTTAAATATAATGGAGGAGAATAGAACTCTACGTCTAAGTATTTATGTATGTATGAGAAGCTATATCGTAATTACAAAGCATGAGGAAAAAATGATGTTGATATTTCCCTTTTCAATAGAATAATTACTTGCATCATACCAGTGGAGTTGCCTCTTTCACTCATTTTGGGCCCTTCTTTTACACAGACAATGTAAACTAAATAAATCATTTGAATTTCTCAGTTGAAGAAAATTTCTTGTAGTATTTCTTATAATCTGTAAATAGCCATGAGCTAGTAGCAATTGCTAAGTCAATACCAAAAAAGAAATTTTCCAATTTTATAATAGATACCTTTTGTATTCAAAAATTCTTACAGGCATATACCTTCTCTTTGTAGATATCTTTTAAAATCTCATGCTGTTTCCCAGTATTACATAATGATCTTTAGTTATTTTTAAAATGCTTTATGATTTTGCTTTAAGCTTTCAAAATAACATTAACATAATTTTTCTTGGGAACACTTGGGAAAATTGACTTTGAATCTAACCTAATCTCATTCCTGTAAAGGAAAATTTTCCTTGAAGTGTTCCCTATTAGGAACAGACATGGAGCTGCTATCTGAGCATGGGCTTACACAGTCTGTAAATATCATCCCTAGGGTTTTTGACAGCCATCTGGGGACAAAGGTCCAAACACACAGCAATGGCTTCTCCCATCAGATGCACCTTGCAGCAGAACAAGAAAAGCTAATTTTGCTTTTGTGTGGTATGAATTTTAATAGTCTCATCTGTGTGACACACAGTCAGGTTTTTCTCATAATATTTGAACATGTTAACTGTGTCACAAAAATATCATGCTGAAAATTGTGTTGTAGTTTGGACAGTACTTTCAAATGAAGAGAAAAGTTTTACAGCGAGGAATGGTTTGAGATGATTTTAATACATTCAGCCTCTCATTCAGAGAGCAGCTGTACGGGAACTGTTGAATCACAGCTTGAACCTCTCACTGACCACCTGAGGCAAGCTATGAGTCAGTTCTGGTAGCACAGGTGAAGGCAATTGACCTGTGCTACTGGAAGGGGGTGGATCCTTGCTCCACCTATCCTGGACCCCATTTAAGAGCTGACTACCACTGGGAAAGGCTCTTTTTTCCAGATGGTTCCCCTTGGAATCTTCTCAGCAAGCCCAGGATGGGGGTAAGCTATCCTTCAATTCTTCCTTAGCATGGTTACTTGTTTAGCGTGACTTTTTTGTGCATTTTTTAATTATATCAGCTGTATATTAATTATACAGGAATTTTCTTCTGTTATATTAAATTTTGGCTTAACAAATGAATACTGTTAGGAGGCAGACAAATTCATTGTAAGTATATTTATCTGAGGTTTGAGCTTTTGGGGATAATTAGATATTGATAGTAGTAGGACGCTGATGTTACAGAATGGGTTAAGAATGTTGTGACATGCACTTGGGTCACCTTGTTTACTACAGATGACAATAAAAGAAATAATGTGTTTTTGTTCTATTTCAAGACCTATCTTTTCTTAAGGAAAAAAGAAATCAGGTAATCCAGGTTATTTGAAGTATTCCAAAAACAAACCAACAAAAATAAAGCAAAATATAGGTACCCGATCCTAGAGGAATTTATAGCTTTAAAGAACTTAAATTTTCTTCTCCAGGTACAAAATGGTTTAACTTAAACTGTTTTGTCTCATAAATAAAAAATGATCTTTTTTCTTGTTCACGGAAGTGATTTATTTTTACCAGGGCTTCATGCAGTTGATTTTCTCCCAACCATTCTCCTCTCTTTGTGCTTTATTTTGTCCGTTTTGGTATTAATTTTAACAACTCTTTTTTTTTTTTTTTTTTCTTTTTCTGTGCCAGTGAATGTCTGCAGTTAAGTATTGAAGGTGCGAGTCCATCCTTGACAGTATGGAGCATTCATAGATAGAGGCCCTGTAATAAAGATAACAGAAAGTCTGGTAGAATCTTTCTTCCCTTTTGGATTATGTGCATCTGCAGCAGGCTCTCTAAACATTTGTTTGTGAACATACAGAATTACTGATATGAGATGTTGTTTAACTAGCACTAGAAATGATCAGGCCCTTCCGTGGTTGACTTGTATGGATAAATTTTTTTTCTTAATGTGTGGGACACTGAGATGTATAGCTTGGACCCTGTGCAGCTTTGCAGAAAATAAAAATACAAGAAACTGAAAAATTTTCTTAGCCAACCCACTAGGAATCTCAGGAAATGAAATGCGTTTTAGGATTAGCAGAAAGCTTTCTTTTTTTTTTTTTTTTTTTTAAAAAATGCTTTATTTATTTATTTATTTTTTAAAAAGGGGGGGAAACAAGGAATATGTGGTTCTCTGTTATCTCTGGAGGTGAGACCATAGTAATTTATGTTCCTAACATGATAGCAGTATGAGAGCAATGACATTAATTTATGTAACTTTAATGATGAAGAGTGAGAAAGAAGGAAAAAATAGGGCAATGATATCATCAGTAAATTTAATCGGACTGCACTCACACAGTGCTTTCTCACATGGAATGGAAGAGTGGGAAGAGGAACCCAAAAAGGAGGTTTTCTTCCTAACTCTCATGTCTGTTTTGCCTTGTTGCACAAAACAGATTGCCTACAGAGCAGGGTACAATACGGACAGCAACTGTGTTTTCTACATTATCTCATTGTCGGTAGAAAGGTGATAAGGATAGTTTACATTCATGTAACTCTTCAGGTGTTTTTGGCACATGGAACAAGGGAGGTTCAGAGGAAAGGGATGATCTCTGGGTAATGGGAGAATAGACACAAATATAGATGCTTTCATCATGAGTTGAAAGAGGTTTTCCAAGGGACAAGTGAGATTTAATGGAGCTCCTTATTTTTTCAGCATATTTATTTGTAAGGAGAAAATAAATGTTCACAGTAGCTGTATGTTAATATATGCACTGTAGGTTATTTTTCAGTCCATTCACTACTCCTAAAATATCAGGACAGTTACTGAGTTGCAATTACTGTATGCCCCACGAGTTATTCAGAAGGATCAGAATCAACCTAGAAATGACCTGAGGGCTTACAAATACAATTCTTAATTGTTAGATGAAAATAAGTCAAAAGAAATATGTTGTGAATCCTGCACTTCTGTTTTGTTTCATTTTGAGTAGCCTGGTTGCTGAATTTTTCTTTTTGAATGATTTTTCTTATCTTTGTGGCAAGAAAAAAATCAAACAGAATTATTACAATTTGATCCCGCCCTTATCTATTTTTTTTCTGACTGAGCATAGGTGACTTCAGCAAATAAATAATCCTTTCTACCGTTGTAGCTGTTTTAAGTCATTTTAGATTAATCTTTTTTTTAAATTGCTGCTTGATTGGCAAGCTAACACATTTACATGTTCTTCTTTCTAAAAGACATTAATGTGTCTTTCACTTATGAAATGTAATTACACATGATCATGTTGGAAACTACAAGAAAAGTGTCAACTCAAGAGTTAAATTGACTGTCAAACAAATTACTAACTTTCAATATCATAACCTCTGAGCAAAAAATAGCATGCTAGTTCCCTGGGCAATCAAAGTACGCACAAAGGATCAGGTTCTCATCATGACAGATGTGTTATTGTGCAAATGGCTGCTTTTGGCTTTGTGATTATTTGTTCAGATGTTTAATCTTCACACGATAGCCAGACTTGCAGAAATTAGTTGCAAAGCTGTTTGTACACGCCTGGGCTGATAGCATCATAAGCCTTGTGCTCATTGATCTTAGAAGTGAAACAATGGGCAGTTGAATCCATCGCCCTGACAATGAGGCAGCACCGGAGATGTAAGAGGGTCAGGCTATTGAACTTCCTGTGCCAAATGGGACAGACCTAATCACAGAGACTGAGTACGTGTTTGCACTACCCAGTGGACCACAGCACAGCAGCTTTGCAGTAACTAACTCAGGCTCTGAGCTGTGCTCATGCAGTTGTATTGCTCCTAGTCTGGGCACTAGATTAACCACAACTAGGTCAATGAGGTGCTGCAGGATGAAAATGCTTCCTGGAAAACTTTGGCTTCACAGTAAGTAGAAACACCGAGATGTGCTTCTGAAACCAAATACGTCCTCTAATTGCCCTCTAAAAAATCAGGTATTAGAAGGAATTAAAAACTGCCTGAAAATGTGGAGATGATGGTTTGTGCCTACTAACTTAGTCAGCTGAAGACAACGCCAGTACAAGGTGGAAGACTTGGCTCAATCAAATGTTTCATGTGGATTGGAAATACCTCTATGTTTTCCCAATAGCTGGCAATTTTTTGTTGAGTACTGTTTGGTGTTGATTTGATTTGTTTTTGTTTGTTTGTTTGTTTGTTTATAAACTATTTCATCAAATGAGCTCAAATTGTTTCAAGACAAGGGACTTATTTTCACCCATTCTTTGATGTAGCTATGCCTTTAGATGTAGGTTTTCCATTTTCAGCTGCTTATGTCTTTCTACTGTGATCCCTAGCTAAGTTACCTGACTTATTTCCTATGAATAGAGAGATTATTGGTTTTGGGTCCGGATATTTGAATTGGTTAATTTATTTATTCATTCTTCTATTTACTCATATATTCTGATACCTGTGATGTAAACGCCAGGATGGTCTTGTCAGCTGAACTAGATTAATGTAGCCCCATCTCAGCATATGTAGGCACAGTGCACTCAGAAGCAGTTACCACATTGCACAGCTTCAGCCTCCACAGAGGCAGAATTGAGTGCTGTGCTACACTTTTAGCAAAGAAATTTTAAAAAATAAAACTAAAAATGCTTGCTTCAAAATAAAATCCTGCCATTTGCACCATAGCGTTGTCTAAATATAAAACTATTTTTTTCTTGACTACTAATTTAATCCCCTCAATTGTCTAAAGAGATTTAGCAGGTAAACATGCAAGGATGTAAAGAAATAGTCAAAAGAATCTGTGTCGTCTTACACATCCAAATAAGAGGTATCTGTGTACTATACGACATGTGTTGCATAGTATGTGAATTACTTTCTGATCCTATAGTTAATATTTAATTCACATCGTGCTATCTTAGTCATTAAATAATAGTATTCATAAGCATCAAATAAGTGGAAGGAATTGTGTGGCTAATCCACAGCTTTTAATTTATGTATTTTAAGATTGCTTCCAGTAACTGTATATTAAAAAAAATACTGTGAAGTAAAATATGCTTCTCAAAGAGATATGCAATACTTCTGCAAATTCCAACAAAGTACCTTCAGATCTGGATTCAAGCTGTGCAGATCACAGCAGTGAAACATGTTTGTGGTAAACACATGAGGTGATGTATATAATAAATATGTAGACCATTTATATTTTATACATATAATTTATTTCCAGATGATTAAACAGTGTTGCAAATATTTCTCAAAATAAATAGTTCCTAAATATTCTACCCTCTACTTATCTTTTGATGTGTCTGTGTAACTTTTTACAACATTGGACTTGATCCTTTACTATGTTTTTCTCCTATTATATTTACTTTGCAGTTGTTGTGTCTACTCCAAAATTGGTATTTTGGAGTATTTTGGAGTTGTGATATGTCTTAAAGACCTACTTCAGGTTTCAGAAATACTATTTATGGAAGTTATCTACCTAGATGTAGTAACATACAGTAAGTATGTTACTGTGGTAAGTAACATAGTAAGTAGTGAGTGCAGGTGCTGCTGGGCTTTGGTATCTTTCTAAGTTATTTTATAAAATTGATAGAGAATCTCTTAGTGGTAAATTTCTGTTTATAATCTACATTATAAATTTGAACTTGAGACTACTGTAAGTTGCTGTTATTGTTGTTTTATTAAAGCAATTCACGTTTTCAAATTGCTAAAACCCATTCCTGAGAATTCTTAGTGCCTCAGAGGTAGGGTAGCCTTTTCTGATGTTTATGGTGCATTAATGTAAAGGCTGTAAAGGGCTAAGAATATCCAGATATAAAAGATCAATATCTAATCCCATGAAGGACAGACGCTTTGAATGTTTTTTAAAAACTGTTTTCAGGAGAATTGCCTATCAGAAAAACTTTTATATTGATACACAGGAATTGTTTGAATCTCAGAATATTGCTAAACCAGGAAATTACTTAGTGGAAATTACACAGTGGAAACTCACCTGCCTGACAGAAAATAACTGTCCTTATGTATGAGGGCATATGCCAACAAGCTGGGAGTCCAG